TCACATCCATAGCCTATTCCTAGTTATAATTACTTCTTAAAGCAACATTTGTCTTTGTTTACAAATACAGCAGCAGGTGATAAAACCTAACACCTCAAACAGATTGCTTACACTTCATAATACAAACAAATGTATATGTCTCAAATCACATTTTAGGCAGTTTAACTTAATGCACAATTACATCCATTAAATGTGTCATTACTGTCAATTAAAAAATCACAACTTCAAGAAAAAAGTGACAAAAACCTTTGTAAAGCGCACATAACTCAAGTTGACTTGGTGGCAACAAATCAGTATCTGCTAATCAGTGACAGGCAGTGAAAGTGCCTTTACTCCAGGGATTAAAGTGGAGAAACATCCCATTACTTTGCACACTTGAATAGTTGCACACAATCTTGAAAAACATGACTTTCTTGGTTTAAAAAAGGGTATATACCACACTTTGTCCTTTAAACTGCCCAAAGGTGGCCGGGCTCGGTGGCTCAGCCTGTAATCCCAGTGCTTTGGGAGGCTGAGGTGAGTGGATTGCCTGAGCCCGCTGGTTTGAGACCCATCTGGGCAACTTGGCGAGATCTCATCTCTAAAATAAATCAAAATTTGGCCAGGCGTGGTAGCGCGTGCCTGTAGTTCCAGCTACTTGGAAGGATGAGGCGGGAGGATCGCCGGAGCCCAGCAGGCGAGGTTGCGGTGGCCGGGAGCGGCCACTGCACTCCAGTCTGGGTGACAGAGTGAGACTCCAACTCAAAAAAAAAAAAATTGCCCAAAGGCTGGTCTACAATATCTACCAGCAGTAACCCTAATATGTTTATCTAGGTAAACTAATAATGGGTGCACTAATGAATTCTGTTATGTCAACCCTAGTCTATGAGCCTCCCAGGGTCAGGGATTCTCTGGTGTCTTGCAAAGCACCTGGATCAAGGGTATTTAAGTAACTACTGGCGAATGCTTCAGATGTTTTCTATAGCCAGAAGTTTGCATGGCATTGCAAAAATACTCATTAATTTATTGACAATTTTTGTTATACTCAGCAAAATTCTGAAAATAAAAAGAACAGCATCAGTCCTTACATCTAAATATTGCTTTATTAAGATTAAATAATAGTCTTCCCTGAAAGTCACCCACCACTTTCTATACATAGTACAATATATCAATGTGATATAGCTGCATTTAGGCTTATGCTTTTCAAAAATGTTAACACTTGAAGGTCTGTGCTTAAGTTTAGTTTCCAGGGTTTATAAACCTGGCATTTGATATTTGATAAAATACTAGCTCTATACCATTCAGGGTGAGGGAGACATTGGCACTTATTTTTTACAAGTGTAGGCAATTGATCAATATACAAACCAGCCTTTTAACGAAACTTTGAGTAGAGCTATTTTCATCTACACAAAGTTTCAAAAGCTGTACATTTAAGTGCAACAGGTAGCACTAGTTATCTGTGAGGTAATATATCACGGGCAAGCTGATTTTTCTTGAAAATATTCCAATATCCGAGTAAGTTTACCTCTTTTCTTCTCTGCCCTATTACCATTCTCCACTAAAGACAAACAGTAAAATAAACAAAGGAGATTGTTGCTGGGTGCAGTGGCTCAAGCTTGTAATCCCGGCACTTTGGGAAGCTGAGGCGAGAGGATTGTTTGAGTCCAGGGGTTCGAGACCAGCCTGGACAACTTGGCGAGATCGCATCTCTACAATAAATCAAACAAATTAGCCAGATGTGGTAGCACGCATCTGTAGTTCCTGCTACCTGGAAGGCTGAGGCAGAAGGATCACCTGAGCCCAGCAGGGTGACTGTGAGAGAGCCACTGCACTCCAGCCTGGGCGACAGTGAGACTCCAACTCAAAACAACCCACCAAACAAACAAAAAAAAGGACATTCTTGAATAATTAAAAATGTATTGTCCATTCCTGAATAATCAATATATTACTTTACACAAAGTAGGGCTGTAATAGGGTGTCAGAGCTGTCAATAGTGTCTTCAAGAGCATGAGAAGATGGAGAGGTGGCAGTGCAGGACACCTGGTAGCAGGCCAGGACAGGCCAAGGATTTGAAGCACTGCATTTGGTCTTGGGAAGTATGCATGTGAGGACCGAGGCCTGTGTCTTCATTTTTCATTGTCATTTTTGGGCTCAACTTTTCAAAACCTAAGATTTCAACTCCAGAAACAATTCCTGAACACACCTCAACTAGCTCCCATCAAATTTATTTAAAAATTCTTACTCTGAAGTGCAAATATCAGCATATACTATAATTTTTATTCCCTTGAGACCAAATATATTTGCTAACAAGCAGTCTCTCTTCCATAAACCAATTTCAGCCTAGCATAACTTGTTTTGAAAGCAACATTATTCCCTTGTAAAAAGGGGGAAAACCTTCCTAGATGCCATTCCCCAATCCTCTTCTGAGACTTCTGCTTTTCTTAACTCCACAATGAACCCAAAAATACTTTCTGGCCCAGAGTGCCCACAAAAATTGAGACACTCCTCCCCATTGGAGAAATGGTGCTTTACAAAAATAACTAAAGCACTCTATTATCCCTTTGATTTTCATCCTTAAGTTTTAAAAAATACCCCCCAAATACCAGTTGTAAAGTTCTTAAAAGCAAAGGATTAAAATGGCAGTATCATTCTGGCAGTATCATTTTGGGCACACTGAGCAGTGTGGGTCACTAGCAGTTATTCTACTTATAGGGACCAGGTTCCCAAATTGAGCTCAAGGGCCTTCAAATCCTTTAGCAACAGATGTTCTCCTGTAATTAATGGACTTCACAAATAGATTCCCAAACTTGTTAGTAACTCTTTGAGTCCAACTGTATCCTCTCTAGTGTTCAATTAAATACTGCATCTAAAGCCAGAGATGACAACTCATTCCAATGTAGGATGGCCAGAGTAACTACAAGAAGATATCTCTTCGCTGCCATTTCACTTTTCATATCATCGTATCCTCCCAGTTAACCAACAATAACTCAAGTTATGACACCTAAAGCTACCTGTTTCATAGACTAGAAACTACTTTGACAACAGACTCCAACAGCTATCACCTGTTCTTGCAAAGAAGTGAAAGAAAAAACACACTATTTCTGCTACTACATAAATGCTAAGATCCCCTGGCTTGAAAATATCTTAATGAATTAGTTTCCACCTTGTCATTTCTGGAAGCTTGAATCCATCATCCACTTAAGGGAGAGAGCTTTAACACTGAATGTTTCTCTCAAAGGTGACCACTTTGCTTCCGTAAAGGAGGTAGCTCTCAAACCATTACATTGGCAGCATTTGGCATTCTTGACATTTTAATTATAGCAGAGGCAAACTATTAAATACTTTATTTCTAAGCAGTAACAAAGCTACAGCATAAATCTTCCCTATACTGGTCTGAGAAATTTACAATATATTTTAGAAACTCAATGGATACATTAAAAATGTTATTGGATAAACAACAAGGTCAGATCTATTCCAAATCTAAGAATCTGATTCACAGATAAGGTCAGCCAGCACGGTGTCTCACGCATGTACTCCCAGCATTTTGGGAAATGAAGGCGAGAAGACTGCCTGAAGCCAGGAGCTTGAGACCAACCTGGGCAACATGGCAAGATGTCACCTCTACAATAAATAAAAAAACTTAGCCAGGTGTGGTGGCACGCATCTGTGGTTCCAACTACTTGGAAGACTGGAAGGACGGCCTGAGCCCTGCAGGTGGAGGCTGTGGTAGCAAAGATCATGCCACTGCACTCCAGCCTGGGTGACAGTGAGACTCGGGCACCAAAAAAAAAAAAAAAGGTGCTAAAAAATTACTAGGGGTGTTTTGGTGATTATATATAAACAGAACTTAAGCAACACAGTCACACTGCTTTAAACTCAGTTGCAGAGATCTACAATTTATTATTTTTGTTTTAGAGCTAGATGGCACTCAATTCCACTTATTTACCTGTCAACAAATACAGAACTGAACTGTTAGCCACAAGCACTTTACAAACAGATCCAAGAAACTATGCAGGAGACAACAACATAGCTTAACCAGACTCTGAAGGACAGATTCATATTTTGATTCATGCTTGTAGAAAGAGAACAGTCATATCCGTATGACTTAAGGTTCTTGAAACACAGCTGCTGTATGTTTTAGTCCCCTAGAGTGTGCCAGTTTTCCCTATCAGGGAGGAATTAAGGGATGTGCTTCTTCTGAACAATGGGGGTGGAGGGTGGGAGGGGGGCAGCATGTGGTGTCAAGGGAGGTACAGGAAAGGGTCTAGGCAGCAGAGCTGCCTCAGGTTTTGAGAGAATAAAAATTACTTGTTTCAAAGAAGCAATTCTTAGGGTTTGTCTAGCTTGAGGGTCCAAAACAAAGAGAATTATTTCTTTTCTTGAGTTCTTCCTGAAACAGTATGCACATCTTACAATGCATTCTAAAGCAACACAAAGAGATAAAAGAATGTAACTTACATACATGTTGGCCTGGATTAAAAAGAAAATCGTAGCTGGGCTCGGTGGCTCAGCCTGTAATCCTGTGCCTTTGGGAGGCTGAGGTGAGTGGATTGCCTGAGCCCGTGGGTTCGAGACCCACCTGGGCAGCGAGACCTCATCTCTACAATAAATCAAAAAATCAGCCGGGCATGGTAGCGCATGCCTGTAATTCCGGCTACCTGGAAGGTTGAGGCGGAAGGATTGCCGGAGCCCAGCAGGTCGAGGCTGTGGTGGCCGGGAGCAGCCACTGCACTCCAGTCTGGGTGACAGAGTGAGACTCCAACTCAAAAAAAAAAAAAAAAAAGAAAATCGTTTCCATAATTGGCAGCTTTTAGTGCTGTATGATCCATGTCTAAAAATAAGTCAGGAAAAGTTTTTTACTAAAAGCTCAAGGATAAAAAGGAACACGGGCTACTGAACTCAACATGTGACAATAATTACTGATAGTTAAAAACATATATCCAAAATACAACCTCAAGAGGACTAGGTTTTTTTATTCTACAAACAGAGCAGCTCAAAATGTCGAGGCATCATTTGTTTAGATTATGTGATTACTTGCAAAGGTTATTTATTTAGAAGGGGAAAATGGTTATAGAAAAATACTTGAAGTAATTTGCCAATGAAGTTGCAGATTCTAACAATAATCCACATCATCCTAGATTTTTATGTGTGAAGTTTCATAATTTAAACAAATTGTATCAAAGAGTTATTCAATATACTTAATCACTTTAACTTTTCATGAAAACCAAATAAAAAATCACATGAATGATTTACTTCTAAGTTTTTATCTGATTGTATCCATCTGATGTACTATACATCCGTACAAGAGGCAGTCATCTTCTGAGAGGTGCAAGAGTTGTTCTTTCATGAATGCCCTCTAAGAACAGTGAAACCAGCAATTTTTATATATGCATTCACGTGCATATATATGTACTTCAAAAAGCAAAGCGTCATCTCTTCGTCCATTGTTAACTTAATGGTAAGACTGTAATAGAAAAAAGAAAAGGTCAACTTCTAGATTTTGTAAATGGAGTTTATTAACTCCTTTCTGTGGCTCAAAATTAATTGCTTAATATATCCAAACAGCAAGTCATCTCATTTACTTTTCCAAAAATTATTTTGAGACTCTCTCTCTCTCGTTACACTAATGCAAGGAGGAAGTTTTGGGGCGCATTATGATTTTTCCCCCTTAATAGCTGAGGTGGATGTTCAATTAATCTAATCAGATATCTGATTAGTTATTCTGTGTCTTAAGAGCTAACAGATTTTTCTCCTCCCTAAGGAAAACCTTCACTTTGTGTTTGGATACTCACTTGGCTCGCCTCATGAGGAAAGCGGGGTACTTTTCTATTTAGTCATCTGACCAAGATTGCAGGCTCCTCAACTAAGATGTTAACCCTACTACAGCTTGGCTGATGGCAAAGCATTCATGTAACTGATAATAAAGAGCAGCAACGCAATCCTGAGCTCAAGAACTGCCTGAATCATGACAATATTACATACTCACTGCCTTGGATTCTCTAAAAATCTATCTCTGTAGCAAGCCAGACAGGAAGCGATTGCTCTTATTGAACTGTGCTTTGGTGTGATGCTATAAAAAATACCGAGAAATGTAACAAACAAAATAAAACCAGCCCAGTGAAATGTGTCTCAGAGTTTACCTGAAGGATGCTGTTGAGGACACTGCTTACAACATTACAAAGCCTTTGGGGATCTTTGAAAATTTCCCCTTTCGTTTTTAGCACAATGTTTAGCTTGTGCTTTCATTCTTTGAAAAGCTTTAACTGAGGTTCTGAAAGACAGTCATTTAATATTCATCCTCTTTAAAACTTTTATTTTGAGTCAGAGTCTCACTCTGTTGCCCAGGCTGGAGTGCAGTGGCATGCTCACGGCCATCGCAGCCTCGACGTGCTGGGCTCAGGTGATCCTTCTGCCTCAGTCTTCCAAGTAGCTGGAACTACAGGCATGCACCACTACACCCAGCTAATTTTTTTTGACTTATTGTAGAGACGAGTTCTCACCAAGTTGCCCAGGCTCAGGCAATCCTCTCGCCTTGGCTGCCCAAAGTGTTGGGATTATAAGTGTGAGCCACTGCGTCCAAACTTTAAACTTTAAAAGATTCCTAATCTTCCACCCCAAACTGGGGTTTCTCAGTTATGCTTATGAGACTATTATTAGTATACGTATAAGAACAAAGAGAACACTCACATGTGGGCCACCAGGCATGGGCGGAGCACCAGAAGGTCCCGAAGGCACTTGGAAAGGGTTGCTGGGAGTAGGATAGAGTCCTGGTGTGGGATAGGATCCCGCAGGGGCAGGATATGGTGCTGGCGGACCCCAGGCTCCTGGTGGAACAGTGCCCCATGGAACAGGCGGTGCTGCCCCTGGTGCTTGGGGAGGAGGGGTGGGATATGGTCCCGGTGACGGATATGGCATATTAGGAGTAGGATACTGCCCTCCCATTCCTGGGGCCCAAGGTCCCGAAGACATGGATCCCCACGGACCTAAAGGACCAGCTGCAGCTGGATCTGTGGGTGCACCATATGGCCTAGGTAGCTCTGGAAAGGGCATATTTGGTGTAGGATATGGCCCTGTGGGACCGGGGCCTGGCACAGCTGGGGCTGGATAAGGACCACCAGGTGGGGGGCAGGATGGTCCAGAAGGAGGAAAGGGAGTTGGGGGTCCTGGAGGAGGTCCGGTGGGAGGCACAGAGGGATACATTCCAGCTGGTGCTGGTCCAAAAGGCACAGTGGAAGGTGTGGCACTCGGCGGAAGCCCAGATGGCACGGAAGGCAGAGCACTCGGGTTACTCCAAGGGCTGGAGCCTGGCCAGCCTTGAGGAGGTTGGCCAGCTTTCGTATTGCTCACGGCAGGGGTTTTGGCAGGGGAGTGTTCAGGGAGTGCATCTGCCAACTGGAACACAAAACAGATGTATCTTATCTACCTTATCTAGGGATAAGCCATACCAAACATGATCATACATTCATAGAATAGTGAGTGACAGAGCCAGGAATATAAACCTCGATAACATCTTCAAAAGCCAAGCCATTTATCTGAAAAGCAACTCATTTAATAGAAAACTTAAGGTATTACCCTGAATAGCAACTTTATAGCGCAACTTCCTCAGACAGTTCAACTTTTTCAAGCATAAATAATCATACAAGGCTTCATTTCTGTGCTGTATTAATATAACAGAGTATAGTAGTTAAGAGGATAGAATTTGGAATCAAGATCTGAGATTTATTTATTTACTTTTTAGATTAGAGAATATATTTTATTTAAGAAAGTAAACTGAAAAAAAAAAAAAAAAAAAAGTAAACTGGAGAGCAAGAGAAAGAGGAGATTCACCTCCCCAAGGTAGGGAAGGGGGCCAAAGCCAGGAAGCATGGCCTGGCCATAGCTCAAAGAGCACATGATCACATCATAGCTTAGCAAGGCCATAGCAGTGATGGTCTGGCAATGGCCAAGAACTGAGATTTAAATCCTTGCTTCACCCCAAGCAAGTCACATACTCTCTCTGAGTTTGTTTGCTCATTTTCCTTTTTTTTTTTTGAGTCGGAATCTCACTCTGTCGCCCAGGCTGGAGTGCAGTGGCACACTCATGGCCACCGCAGCCTCAATCCGCTGGGCTCAGGTGATCCTCTCACCTCCGCCTCCCAAAGTTTTGAGATTACAGGTATAAGCTGCTGTACCTGTCCTAGTTTCCTCATTTAAAAAATAGTTTTGGGGTACTTAAGCTTAAATGAGATAGTTAATTTAACAGAGTGCCTAGTATATATTAATTTTCAATAAATGTTGGCTATTACTAATATTCTCAGGGTAAGAAAGGATAGAAATGATACCTTACATTTTTCATTTAAAGATTCATAAATAAACAAATATAGGAAACATTAGCAAACATGCTATTATCTAAGTAAACTAAGACAAATCACCTATCAAAATTATATGCCAAAAAAAAACACACCTCTTTTTAAATTAAAATATTCCTGTGGTACACAGTTGGGATCAGGTTGTTTTTCTCAAGAGTCAAAAAGCTTATCAAGGGAAAAACTCACAAACTTACCGAAAACTCATCAGACATTTTCCTAAAAAACAAAGAAACGAAGAAAGGAAGAAAGAAAAAAAATTTCAAAATCATTGTCCACCATTTCTCTCTATATATTCTTTAAGGAACTTTCTATGCATACATTATTTTTACTTAAATGGAATCTTATTTATGTAATGTGTCTTTATACATAAAAACTTTCCTTAATATTGCATATAGTTCTATCAACTTCGTTCCTTTTAATGGTTCACATCAATCAAAAATAATTCATAATTTAGTTTACACTTTCATTTTTGTGGCAGTTTAGGTTGTATTAAATATTGATACAGTGAATATCTCGGAACATTTAGGTTTGTTCATGTGTAAGAGTCTACCACCAGGAAAAAGCACCAGAAGTGTGCTTTTTAAAAGAATCAACGGGTAAGTTTTTCTAAAATCCATCTGAAAAGTCCACGCCAATTTGCACTGTCATCCTTTTCTCCAACTCCTCTTTTACCATTTGATATTATTAGGTTTATAAGCCATTTAGAATGATAACAGACTAAAAGTTGGCATCTTGTTTCAAAGTGTTGGGATTACGGGCGTGAGCCATATGGCGCTTGGCTATCTTACATTTCTTTAAGAGGAAGGCAGAGTATCTTTTTAATGCAATACCCCATTTACACTTCTTTTTCTATGAATTCACTGATGTCCTTGGACCACTTTTACCAATTTTTTTTTTTTTTGAGTTGGAGTCTCACTCTTTGTTGCCCAGGTTGGAGTGCAGTGGCATGCTCACGATCACCGCAGTCTCAATCTGCTGGGTTTAGGTGGTCCTTCCGCCTCAGCCTTCCAAGTAGCTGGAACTACAGCTGCATATCACCATGCCCGGCTAGTTTTTTGTGATTTATTGTAGAGACGAGGTCTCACCAAATTTTCCAGGCTGGTCTCGAACGCCCAGGCTCAGGCAATCCTCTCGCCTCAGCATCCTAAAGTGCTGGGATTACAGGCTGAGTCACCACGCCTGGCCATCAAGTTTTAAACTGAAGTATAATGAACACTCAGGAAAATGCACAAATCTTAAGCATTCAGGTTAATATTTTCTGACAACTGTATATGGCCCTGTAACCACCCCAAACAAGGTAAGGTTATCTGTTTCCATGACTCAAGTTTATTCAAGCTTCTTTCCAATTAACTGATATGCCCTCCCAGCAATCCACTTTTGACTTAATTTTGCTTTCTGACTTCTTATAAAAGACCACAGGTACTCTTTCCTCTGCTCTTTTTACTACTTAGTAGTACATCTTTTTTCCTTCATTGCTTTGTAAGACACTCAGAAATTAGCTCTGTCATATATAAGATTAAAAATTGTCTCTGAGTTCCTTTTATCTGTAGATCGCTTAAATGGTATTTTCTAGTATTACTAGTTTTGGTTTTTTTTTTTTTGAGTCGGAGCCTCACTCTGTCACTCAGGCTGGAGTGCAGTGGCACACTCATGGCCACTGCAGCCTCAACCTGTTGGGCTCAGGTGATCCTTCCAAGTAGCTGGAACCACAGGCATGTGTCACCATGCCCTGCTAAATTTTTGATTTATTGTAGAGACAAGGTCTCGCCATGTTGGTCAGGCTGGTCTCGAACTTGAGTTCAGGCAATCCTCCTACAACCACCTCTCAAAGTGCTGGGATTACAGGCTTGAGCCACCATGCCCTGCTTACTAAAGTTTTACATCTGTGTAGTCAAATTTATATCTTTGCCTACATGTGGCTTCTGAATTTTGCAGAATGTATATATATTTTTTGAGTTGGAGTCTCACTCTGTTGTCCAGGCTGGCGTGCAGTGGCACATCATGGCCACCGCAGCCTCATCTGCTGGGCTCAGGCGATGCTTCCGCTTTAGCTTGTCAAGCAGCAGGAACCACAGGCATGCACCACCACAACTGGGTAATTTTTTTTTTGTTATTTATTTATTGTAGAGATGAGGTCTCGCCATGTTGCCCAGGCTGGTCTTGAACCCCTAGGCTCAGGCAATCCTCTCACCTCTGGCCTTAAGTGCTGGGATTACTAGCTTGAGCCACCATGCCTGGCTGATTTTGTGATATATTTACAAAGACCTTCTATATTCTGAGATTAGTCTTGATTTCTTTTTCTTTTTTGTTCTTTTTTTTTGAGTTGGAGTCTCACTTGGTTACCCAGGTTGAAGTGCAGTGGCACGCTCATAGCCACCGCAGCCTCAACCTGCTGGGCTCAGGCGATTCTTCTGCCTCAGCCTTCCAAGTAGCTGGAACTACACCCTGCTAATTTTTCTTTATTGTAGAGATGAGGTCTTGCCAAGTTGCCTGGGCTGGTCTCGAATCCGCGGGCTCAGGCAATCCTCTCACCTTGGCCTCCCAAAGTGCTGGGATTATAAGCAAGAGCCACCGTGCCTGGCCTATCCTTGACCACTTATAGTACGTTTATGGCTTAAATTTTTGTTTAAAAATCTTACAATACTTTCAAACAATAAGCACCAAATAATCTATCTTTGCTCAACTAACTGGACAGGCTACCATTATCACACTCTACTGCTGCTATATGTAACTAGCATTTACTGAATGTTTATTACAGATAGGTGCTATGCGCCATCTCATTTAGCAGCTCTGGAACCCTACAATGCATATTCTGTTACCTTGGTTAAGGTTTCAGAGCTAGCGTCAAGTAGAGAAGGGGTCTAAATCTAGTACAGTTTGACTCCAGAGAAGAGGCTCTGAGCAGGATACAGAGCCTCCAGCATTTTCCATATGGCATTGTAGATGCTTCTTCAGCTCTACATCCTATCATTCCATTGTAATTACAGTAGCCAATGTTTCTAAAGTAAATTCTAATGTTACTGATTTTTTTTTTCTGATTTTTCTGAAGGAATTATTCCCATTTTTATTTGTTTGAGTTAGAATCTCACTTTTCTGCCCAAGCTGGAGTGCAGTAGCACACTCACGGCCACCGCACCCTTGACCTGTTGGGTTCAGGCAATTCTTCCACCTCGGCCTTCCAAGTAGCTGGAAATATGGGTGCATGCCATGACATCCAGCTAGCTTAGGATATGTGATATTTAAAATGCCAAATCTTCTCATGCAATAACAAGGTACAGTTTTCCCGATACCCAAGGGAGAATGGTTCCAGGACCCTCCCGGACCCCAAAATCCAAAGATCCCCAAGTCTCTATTATAAAATGGCATAATATTTGCATATAACCTATGCACATCCTCCTGTATACTTTTTTTTTTTTTTTGAGTTGGAGTCTCACTCTGTCGCCCAGACTGGAGTGCAGTGGCCACTTCCGGCCACTGCGGCCTCGACCTGCTGGGCTCCGGCGATCCTTCTGCCTCAGCCTTCCAAGTAGCTGGAACTACAGGCGTGTGCCACCACGCCCAGCTAATTTTTTGGATTTACTGTAGAGACGAGGTCTCGCCAAGTTGCCCAGGTGGGTCTCGAACCCGTGGGCTCAGGCA